TGAGCCTTTGCCGCCATGCTCCTCGGCTCTGGTGCCTCTCCACGGCTCGGTGGGCGGCCCCTAAGCTACAAGAGCTACTAAATTGCTTATTGTAAGGGCTGCTATAAGGACATCTCCACCAAGCATTGAATACCGACATGCGACTTTACTGCCAAGGTGCTGGGAAATTGGAGAGAACCAAGCAAATAAGATAATCACATATGTACACAAACCGTTTACAAACCGTACAACCCTATTTTATGAACATGTACATATATATATATAGATATATTCATATAGCTATATATATATATATATATATATGTATACATATGTATATATATATATATACCATCTGTATATCTATATATATATGTAGTATACATGCATGTATATACATTATAGAGTGATGGACAAGGGCACCGACGCACTGTCAAGGCCAAGTTTGGCACCGAAGGGTCCCCCGAATCTATACTCGCCACCATCGGTGGAGGCGGGTGGATATTCGCATCGGACCGGGCAAAGCTGAGAATGCTCTATGTCCGACTGCGGCAGGGTGAGATTACTTGGCTTCTGGTTACAAATGTCTAGTTCATAGATGCATTTCACTTGAGCAGCATCTATGGCATGCGAGAGGTAGATTCGCTTTCATGCCAACGGGTCTTCTTCGCTGCAAACCTTGCAGCCATTCCCGCATACTTAGATGTCCAGCATCAGTCCCGTTCTTACTGTACCTTATTTTCATTACCAGTCCAAGCGTTTCTGAGCACTGGAGATCGCCAGCAGGCGCGTAGCTTGGGCAGCCCTCAGCGCAGAGGGCGCGGCATGACGCCCGTGATGGCATGCAAGGCGTGCGCGGAATCTGGTGATCCGATATCTGGCTCTCCAGCACGACAGACTACTTAGTTACTATAAGGAACAGCTAGTCGCAGCACCTGTTCACGAAGGTCTAATTTTAGCATACGCTGAATACCTGCGAGATTCATCTGATGCAGATCGATGTGACTGTGCCAAAGTAAGTATACCCGACCAGTCGAAACTGGAAGACTCTGACTAGCAACGCCACTATGATACGCGTTTGGCCGGTTTCGCCTGAGAGCCACTGTGCGGTGTCTGACCGGCCTTGCTTGAGAAGCATAGTTCGGGTTAATGCATCTTGTGCTTGAGCACTTCTGGGCTAGCCAGAGCATTGGTCTGTCGGAGTCGGATGTGCTCTGGTGCAGCCAGGAACTCCTCCGTCATCTTCCCAGATCTCAGAGAGCGCAAACCTTCAGCACTTCATACACAAGCCATGTCAGTGGAGCACAAACCATGTCAGTGGCTAGCATATGCTAGCATGCTCTGGCCGAAAGCGCCCTGCATAAGCCCTCCTCTCTTGACAGCGGCACTGCCCTGAGCAGGTGGCAGCAAAACCCCGCACTTGGAAGGCGTTTCGGACCTCAGACCAGGCCTTCGGAAGATTTCGGCTTGGAGGGTTTGGGGTGCAAGCTGCAAAAGGGCTTTCAGAGCCTTTATCAGCACCGGTGGCGACCATCTCATGACGGGGATGGCTGTCTTTCCCAAACCCATGCCCCAAAAGACCCGATGTCGTCTGACCGCTGAAGCACGTGAGGCTTGCAACAGGACTGATAGTCCGCGTCAAAGCTGCGCGAAAACCCTTGAAGCTCGAGTTGATGTCCTGTTTGGCCCTACTTTGTGTTGCGCTGTTTTCCGGAAGCCCGACTCGAGCTGCGCTTGTAGTCCGACACGACCCAAAAGACCTCGTTTGGTGAGTCCGAGTTGCGAGAGCCTAAACCCTCCACCGACCAGGCCGCCACTGTGCTGTTCCTGCTAATCGCCTGCGTGGCTTTCGGGCTAGAGCGGCTGAATTGCAAAAGAAGTCTGTTGCTCGCGCTCATCGAAAAAGCGTACCTTCAACAATTCGGCTCTATGTCGTGGTTAAAGAGGCTTTTGGAAGCCCGATGTTTGGCTTGAAACTTTGGAAGTTTCGGGCTTCAGAGATCCGGTTGTCAATGGCTGTTTGCGGCAGGGAAGCCGGGGTTGCAAAAACATACTTATACATAAATAATATTTGTGTATATATATATATATATATGTATATATGGAGAGAGAGAGAGAGAGAGAGAGAGAGAGAGAGAGAGAGAGAGAGAGAGAGAGAGAGAGAGAGCGACACACAAAACCACATACTTATTCGGTTTCTATGAGTAGGTCCTACTAAGAAGTCGAGTTCCGACTACCTAGTTCACCAAAGAGTTGCGCGCTTGCTACATGAGACGGCTTCCCATTCAGCATGCGAAGCTGGATTTTGAAGATGGCATCTATGAGTTGCAACTCAGCGTCGCCATTCTTGCATGTCTGCACTGTGACAGGCACCATGTGCCTAATGCAAGTCCTCACAAACAGTAGCTCAGTAGCTCGACTTGGTGTGAGACATGCCTCCAGCGCTCAGAAACATCAAACCAGACTGCCCATGAATGGATTGCCCAAAGGCGCCAAAGTAGTTCCTTTTTGGGGTTCGTATGTAGAATCCTATAAGGTAATCCCAAAAAGGAACTACTTTGGGGCCTCTGAGTATGTACCTGAGGCGAAGTCGAGCACCAGCGATGAGAGGGCTCGTGGTTGAATCGGTGAAGCTTGGGCCAAGATTTGAGGGATGCATACGTCTGCAAGGCAGCCTGGGACGTGTGTGTTTTTCACCCGAAAAGATTCAGATCAAAAGCGGGACCGCATATGCTACATAAACAAAATACGAGCCGCCAGTCTCGAAATCGTCCCTCCACTCACATCCTAAGGATTTCAGAGTCAAAGACAGCACAATCGATGCTTCCCTGTGTGCTCAAACGAAGACGAGCAACGCTGACCGCTTCGGCTTCACTAGTTGATATTCATAGCGTCCACATATGCCAGGAGCTTGAAGCCTTCAAGAAAGAATATTACTGATCATTACTGCTCCGAAGCATACCTAATTCAATGCGGAACCAAGAGCCTGAGCATCCCAGTGTCCAAAAGATCGACCCTAAGCCCTTAAAGCCCTAAACCCCAAGCCCTAAACGCAAATTCCGGGAAAAAGACAATCCCTCGTAGCTTTGTCAACGGTTCAATCGAGACTCCCTGCAATGCGGGCTTCGTCCTTGCTAGGTAGGAGGGGAAAAAACGCAATTAGCAAGCTCAGCGGACTTAGTATCTGAAGCCATGCCTGCCTTGTGCGAGTGTGTGAGTCGAAACGCAATAGTTCAGCTGGGCGGGACAACAAGAAATGCTATATCCCCAAGGAGCCCACGCCATCTCCTGGGTGTTTGCTGGGCCTCCGTCGCCATTATCGGCCGCCCGGCGGCCTCTGCACTGAGGTCGCTTGCTCCGATGTTTAGGGTTTAGCTTTTAGGGTTTCAGGATTTTAGGGTTTAGCTTTTAGGTTTTAGGGTTTAGGAGTTTAGGGTTTAGGGTTTTAGGGTTTAGGGCAAAAGGGTTTAGGGTTTAGCTTTTAGGGTTTGGTGTTCAGGGTTACGTCTTGCATGATTTGGGCTTGCGCTTTGCTTGCACACTGTGATTTGCGGAAAAGATGGTGTGGAGGGCTCGTACGGTTCAGTCGGAGCTCCGGATGCTCGAGGAGGGGTGGATTTGCTCAGCTACAGTAGGCCGCTTGGTTTAGACTTTAGGATGCAGCTCAGCACCTATAAGCTAGCGATCTCTCATCTGAGCGCTTCTCATACCATTTTCCATGCGAGTTTATCTGCAGTGAGGCCGAGGTGATGAAGTTTAGCAGCACAGGGGCGGAAGTTCGGGTTGACCGGTGGTTCGTAGTTCAGGGTCGTTACCCAGAGGCCCCAAAGTAGTTCCTTATTGGGATTACCTTATAGGATTCTATATACGAACCCCAAAAAGGAACTACTTTGGGGCCTTTGGGTATGCTAACACAGTTCACTCAATGATCTCGAAGAAAACTGTAACAACCCAGAGCCGGCGAGCATGGTCTCAGAATCAAAGCTTACCGAGGAAAGCCATTGCAACACCGCGTGCGGGCGTTGCGGTTTCGCACGCCGAGCAGGTGGGCATGCACGGTCTGGGAAGACTCTGCAGCAGCAGCAAGTCCGAGCTGGAAGATAAGTCTTCGTGTTCAATGTTTGGTTCAGCTTGAGGCTTCATTGTCTTTCACGAGTTGCACATCATTTTGCACTACATCGGACACTCAAAGCTCGACCAACCAATGCAGTCGATGAGTTGCCCATCAGTTTCGATATCGGAAATGCCAGCTCAGCCATACATCCAGGTGGGCGAAGCCAACCTAACATGCGAAAGCTTCCAACAGAAAAGACAGGTAACACAACACCACTGTTTCGAAGGCGTTTTCTCGATTTCAAGACTTGACCCTGCTGTCTTCGTTAGCGTACTTGCGTGCGTGCTGCACGCCAGCTGCCCGGATGAACCAACGAACGCTCTGCCCCCACACCCTGAACCCTATAGGCACCAATAACCTCGCCTGTTTCATTGAGTGTGAGCGCCGAAATTTGTGATTGCTGTTGAAAAATAGTTAGTTTAGTACTACAACTTAATAACGTCATATTATCGCACTATAAACCCCCGCTCCCCTCCATCCAGACTTGGTCTGAGCAGACAGGTGGGCGTCACCTCCTTGTTGCAGGGATTGGCCGCCGCGGATCTTCGGACGGATTTGAGACAGTTTAGGGATTGGGTCATGGGTGTAGGGTTTACGTTTTAGGGTTTCGTGTGCAAGTCTGTGCGAAAGGGCATGTGTTGACTGACCGCTGTATTTCTGAGGGCTTTATGTGGGATTTGGTCGGCTTTCTGTGTGCTTCGTGTTTGTGCACGGGGTTTCTTCGTTAGAGATAGGGACCTTGCATGGAGTCCTGATCCGATTGTTTCGATTTCAGTTTGCGGCCCGATGATTCCACATCCTCTGGACCAGGCTTTTGCCCCCGCCGGCTGAATCATTTTTGAGTTGCTACATTGGAAAGCTCTGTGCTATTATTCAGTTTTCGTTCTCCATACTAGGAGTATCGTATATGCAGAAACCATTTTCTCCAAAGCCGGATTGTGCTGTTGTCTTTCGACCAGCACTGTCCTCATCCCTCAATCCTTGCCTGACGAGCTGCTACCCTGAACTGCAGCACTCCTCGTGCCTTTTTTTGGGGGAGGCCTTCTTGGTGCTCAACACCGGGAGCAGCGTTCAGCTTTCGCTGCCAACGACCTTTTGGATCTGCTTGGGATCCTCAGCCTTCCTGAATGCCATCATCAAGACATCAGATCCTCAGCCCGGGTGTAGATGGGTGTTAGGCGCCCCTTGGGGTTATGTAGGGGGTCTTGGGGCCTCAGAAGTTTCGTGTTTCTGAAGTGCTGAGAAGTTTTTGACTGGCTTTTGGTGGGAGCTAAAAGCTAAAGAGCAACATCATTCAGGGTTTTGGGAAAGGAAACGCATGCCTACACCATCGGGGAGATGTCGCTTTGTGCCCCCTTTCTGGCTTTCGATCCGGTGATCCAGCTGGCTGTGGGATCGCCACTTGGAGAATGAGCTTTGGGGCTTCTTCGGTGAAGACTCTCTCAACTGCTCAAACGATCTTCTCCATTCACCGTTGGCACATAGCCCGTAGCTGCCATAGCCTGAAGTGCTTCCAAGCCTTCATGGCTTGTGGTATCCCAGCCCTATACCATCTTGAACTCGTGAGTCAGGTTATTACTCCCGCTGCTCTCATTCTGCTGCCTTGGTGGGGCACCCCTCGAGCCGCCCAGCTACCATTTCCTGCGGTGTCTCGGCGGAGGAAGATGTGAACGGAAGCCCGGAGCTAGATCGGAACATCTTGTTTGACATGTTGCGCGCCTGCTTTCAGAGCATTGCTGTACATACTTGTGTCCCTGCTGTATCCACTGCACTACATGCTTCCTTTGCGACTTGTTCGTGCTTTGTTCAATTATGGTTTGGATGCCGTTGCATCAATCCGCTCTTGAAAGGACATGTCCATATCCCGTCTGCTGGCTTGGGCCGCAGTGCAGTCTCAACAAGAATCAGCAATACTATTCCTCAGCCTGAAGTGCATAGGCAGGTCCATTGTCAGTTCATACATGTAACAAAATAACAGGCCAACAGGGACTCGAGCTTCAACTTCTCGCTGGGTTCCCGCGAGTGTCCGTTTGTCTTTTCCGGCTCTCCTTTCTCCGACGCCGGGAGAGACCGAACCTTTGGATCACTGTCGCCGGTGCAAGTCAGCTTGCAGCCGAAAGGGCCGAAAGGCTGTCTCCCGCTTGGCCAATAGGTGTCAGAAGCATTTATAGCCGTGACCGTAAGCGCAAAGCCAAGACAGACGAAGACCCTGAAGTCTTAAAGCTGTACCCCCGGAAATGCAGATGTCCAGTCCCTGATCTCACAAAACTCAATCGTTAGCCAAGCCTAGCGCGCAGCGAATCCCCCGTATGGCAGAGCCCAACATAAAAACCCTTGTAAGCCCTCGTATGTTTTAGACGTGCTGAGCCGTACGAAGCCAGATCTGAGGAAAGCTGCCTCCGTGGCGTGCATCGCAGCAGGAATGCTGGCTTTGTCCATTTCACGCAGGCATCTACGGGCTGTGATTTCGAAATCGTATAGGCGTTCAAGAGCATCCACAATGGCAGATTCAAACGCCCACAGTGCACCTGGCAGAGAAGACAGTCTGTTTGACTTTGAAAGATTTTTGTCAAGGTGCTCAGTCCTCCTCTCTGTCCTCCTCCTGCCTACTGTGCGACCGATGAACGCTACAGCCTAGTATCACCCAAAACCATGAAGCTCAACAAGATGTGGCAGTCTTCCGGCAGTATACGGTTTTGTAGGTCATTGCAGCTGATCTTCCGACATGTGCCGAAGCCTTTTGAAGCGAACGTTGGCGATATCGATTTTCCACAGGCAGGCAAAGAGAGAGCTACCGAAAGGGGCTGGCTTTATCATTCTGCCGCTCGGAAGCAGGTTGCCTGGATTCGAACCCGAAGTGTGCGACAAAACGAAAAACCCTTCGATGAAGCACCATGCTTGCAGCAGTCTAAGTCTTGTGGCATCACTGCCGGCAAGCCGTTTTAGCCTTGGGGAAGTTTTTGGCAGCACGGAGCATCGCTGTGTGTGTGTGTGTGTGTGTGTGTGTGTGTGTGTGAGTATTGGCCTTGATTACTGATTGCCATTCTTTCTTAGACGTGGTTTAACCTACTCCTGGCTCGAATCCTCCGTCCCAGACCAAGGAACTGCTTCCTGTACTCCGCCACGTACCGGCTTGATGCTGCAGCCGCCACCCTTCTGCAAGCACAAGCAAAGGCCCTGATCTGTACTGTTGAGGATTGTTTGTGCATTGATGATGTGATCATTGGGCTCCTGTTATTTCGGATAGCACAGAAGCGAACATACAGAGCCGACATGATGCGGATGCACACGAAAATTCGTTGCTGGGAAGCTGATTCCTACAATGCAAAATACCGGGCACGAACATATTATGTATATCTATATGCACATTATGAGACACATACACCACATACCCACACACACATACATACATACGTACATACGTACAAACATATACATGCCCAAATCGTATGACGTTATGTCAATTGGCGAGTTTGCCGTGTTGCTCTGTCAGTAGCATTGTCCTTTTCAGCAAACCTTTCCCAAGGTGGGTGTGACCAGCAGCGTTTGCTACTTCGCCTTTAGTCGCCTCCTTATGGCGGCGGTTTGCTTTGCCGGGACATTGCTCCAGACGAAGGACCTCGAAGCTCGGGGTTGGGGCTCTGGGGATTGTTGGGATGAATGGGGATTTAGATGCTTAAGCTTTAGGGCTGACGGTCTTGCAAACTCAGCAAACATGTGTCGGTTGAGAGGTCGGATTGCCGGGAGGGGATAATCCTGGAGGACACTTATGTATGAAATGATCTTTAAATCGTACTTACAACAACGGTTTTCTATTTCAGTCCTTCTTCTTTCTTAAGACCAGAGAACCTTTAGAGCCAATTTTCTGATCTATGTGTGGTCTCGGTTTTGAGAACGTGTAGTCCTGGACATGGACAACATGAGTGCCGATTATGTACTCTTATCAGTCATATCTTCTCAGGATCATAGCTCTAGGATCTAGGGACGCCAGAATCCTCCCACGGATATTCGGAGATATTTGTCTCTTGATCAGGCTTATAATTCAGTTATATATACATGAGAATGGGTGTACATATACATACTTAGAAATAAGCACCCGGTGTAGCATCGCAGAGTATCAGTTTGCATAAACCAAGTTGGAATTGCAACTGCTAGCTGTCGTTGCTTGCGGCTTTTCAGCGGAACCAACGGCAGTTCCAGGGCCGCTCCGGCAGACTAAACCCTAAAGCTTTGTGACCTCGCCTGCGGTGTCCGAGTTGCGAGAGTCCAAACGTCGTGACAAGGAGGATGCAAAGCTGGACGAGCCGTCGGCGAAGTCGGGCGGATGGGACCGAAGAACGGCCACTCGACACCCTGAGCCTCCGCAGTTTCGAAAGCTACATGCAAGCTGGTTGTAAAGCATCGTGCCGTCGTCACAGCTTCGATTGTCCAGGGGTCTCTGCTACCGTACGTGCTAACGGCAACCGCCGTGGAATGAATGCGTTCAGCAATTCGGCCTAAGCAGTCAGACTGATGTCGAAGTCAAGGACGGGGGGTGAATCCAAACTCCTCACCAACATCTGTTATTTCCATCTCTGCGGACTCTGTCTTTGAGTTTGCCCTTGGTTTGTTATATAGGGGCCATATGAAAACCTCTTTAATAGCCGCCCTCCAGGTCACGCTGCTCTTGTTCGTTTGTGTAGTGGACGCGGCTTACATGCTTTCCATGTACCAGGCGGGATGACCAGTCTGCTTAGGCTTAGAACTGATAGTTCCAGCACGTCTAGTGCTAAAGGCTCCATAGGTCCATAGACTCCTTCTAGGTGTAAGTCATGATAACTCATGCATTTGCGGGTCAGAATGCGAGCTTCTCTCGGTTGCCATAGCCATAGCGTATTCATCTCAAGTAATTAACCTTTAATGTCCCAACCAAGTAGAAACACATAGCACCGACCCCGCAAAAATAGCCTGCCTCTGTAACATTTTGTATTGCCTTAAAGGGCTTTTTAGTCAGCTACCCATCAGTTATTCTTCGCTTCTCCCGCTGATCCCCTAGAACCGCAGTGTTCGCTGCAGTCGACGAAGCGTCTAAACGCCCTGTCACCTGAGAAAGGCCCTGCACGTAGAGACTTTTTGTCTCTCGGCCTTGTACCTGAGCCCCGGAATTCTTCCGCTAGCCGAGGTTAACGTAGGATTGGGTTGAACAACATACGTAATATCATAGTATACCATAATCATAGAATATATGGTCATACAACATGGCGTTGCAACAATTCGCAGCAGGCCGTGTCCTTGATCTCGCCAGTCCTCGTCTCCGCCGTGAAGCGGGGGGGTGGCTGCATGTCCGAAGGGAGTCTTTAAGCCGAAGCGAAGAGTAGTAAAGCTTCCGGGACCCCATAGTCCATGGAACTCTATATCCCTAAACCCCTAAACCCTCCGAGAGTGAGTGTTAAAAAAACCCTAAAACCTACCAAGCTTAGGCCGGAATATTGGAACCCAAACCAACTAAGCTTGGGCTGGAAAATTGGAACCCAGAGCAGTCACACAGGACTCCACACCGGGGGTGCACCCTTATAGTTAGTACCCTTACTGTAACGGCCCCTTTAAGCACGCTTAAAGGACACCTTCTGGTATCCTTGAATTGAAGCATCGTATAGTATGCTTGGTACCCTTGCAAGAACCCTTGTTGTGTGATTTTGCATCGCAATATTGAAAGAGCCTTAACGCTCATGAAGGCTTGTCACGCAGGCCTACACGAATAGCATCGGAACTTACTCGAGTGGCCGGAAAGTCATTGTGCTTCGAATCTCGATCCGGGGAATGATAGCTGTTTTTGAGTGGAAGCTTGGTTAAACATAGCTTAGTCCAGGGCACCGTTCTCGAAAGCACCCAATCTTTTTGCTGCCGTTTGAACCGTATGTGCTCTACTCGGTGACCGTTGTCTAAGCTAGGTTCGCACCATCTCCAAACTCAAAGGCCTGAACCTCAACAGCTGAGGCATCGTTGTCTCAGCGCTGCACCTTGTCATCAGTTTCGATATGTTCTGTTTGTCCTTGATTGCGTCGTTGCTGCCCTTACAAGAGCAGTCCGAAGTGTGCTGCGGAAACATATAGGGGATTACATGTACAGGGACTGTAGTACTGTAACGCATGGATCTCAGTTGGCTGAAGTCCGTCTTTGGTTGATTGGTACTGGCGGGGCTCTGGAAGCCACCGACGTTTCCCAGAGCCGACAGTATCGAGATTTGGGATGATTGCTTGAATCTGGTGCGTGGGTTTAGGGCTTCGCGTGTAGGGGTTATCGGGTTTTGCACTTGCAGAGTTAAGCAGTTTTAAGTAGGCTGGCCTTGCCACTGGTCGCTCACGCCTGCCTAAGTTTCGGCGCGCTGTTCTTCGGGGAGAACTTGTCGGGAAGGAAGCCACTTGGCCAATGATGAGGAGTTGGAGAGGGAGGGAAGGAGGGAGAAAGAGCAAGGGAGACAGAAGTTCTCACCCCAGCGAGTAGCCTTGAAGCCCGCAGGGGGCCTAACTCGCCCCTGAAGCCTGGGAGAAGAAGAGAGAGAAGGAGTGACCTGATCACCCCAAACTACTATGGTTTTGAATTAGCAAAAACCCAGAGCTGTCTGAAACCAAGGAGACTTCTCTTCAGCATTGCTGCTGGTGTGACGTTGCTCTGCCTCTGAGCAGTAAGAATAGGAAGGAGTAGCAAGGACCAAGATTTCTGGGAGGATGGCACCAGCTAGTGCATCCACCGTGTCTCTCTCTCTGTGTGTATGTGTTCTGGGGAACGGCTTTTTCAATATGTTGCGACTGGCCGAATTCGGTGACCCTCGAGCAAGTTAACAGCAGACAGACCCGATCTTGAAGTCGGTGCCTCCTAGTAGATGCTCCTTTCTGGTATCTGGTTTCGGACGACGATACCGTTTTGTTCCCAGTGAGATCTCTCACATGTCTGTGCCTTTGCACATGCCGGTTCCGGAAAATTTGAGGATGTTCTGGCAGAGGGCTCGGTCGCAGGATCCAGTGACAGACCTTTGCACCCAACTATGTTGTGATCGCAGACAGCAGGCCCTGCGAGCGTACGAGAAGCTACAATAGACTACAAGGGTGATGCGGGTCTTTGCTGTGGCACAGGGTCTCAGTTAAGTAACTGTTCAATCTCCTGTTCTACGTCGAGTTGCCACATGGATCTTGCGAAGCCGGGCGGTCGCTTCCCTAGAGACTCCAAAGCTCCTTAAGCCTGCAACATACCTTTATACAGATACAAACAGAAAAACATTTTTGAAAGTATTTCTATATACATACATACACACATATATATATATATATATATATATATATGATGCATATCCCTTTGTCTTGAGGGTTTTGGAGCCCCTGGGTCTGTCACGTACATCGCTAGATGCAATTCACCAGCTCGCGGCATTGCTTGGGGCTCGCTTACTGCCGAGGTTCGGACCTGAAACGGAGGTTTCTTAAACACTAGTACCGTGTTTAAGGGTATCATATGGATCAAGACTTCAAGAGTGAAGTCAGTCTGGTAGCTCGTCCACGAAGGGTTCATGCTACCATATGCTACCCATGTTAATCTCAAGCGAGGTCAAGCAAAGCAATCGCCAGTTTTGTGATCGTTAGTCGGCTGATGTTGGCACCACTATCAGCTGACCTTGCTTGGCAGATCGCAGAAGAAAAAGCCCGTTGCGGACAGGCATGGCAGGACTAATTATACGTCTGGGTGGGTGTCGGTGCGTCGGGAGCTCTGGCGTGATGGCGCACCTTTCACCCGTGTAGCAACATCACAGTACAAGTTGCATCACAGGCAGCCGATGTTCGGAGTTCACTGGCAGCCTGTATGCCAACATGCGAGAAGTTACGCACAAGAGCAGGCAGTTGAAGTTTCGCAGTTTGAAGCTTCAACTTGATCTGATGTCCCCACCTCTGCAATTCGCCCAGCTGATATCTCACCCTGACGAAACGCCCATAAGTCCCGAAGTTGATAGCCGGAAGCCTTGGACTTACCACGCCCCATGCTAACCCGAAATCGGCAGGCAAAGGGGGGTGACCGGAAAGGGCCACCCATCAGACCTCTTTGAACCTCCTTTGTTCAGGCCGCCCCACACCTTGTACTCTGAACCCCAGAACCTGCAAGTCCCCAAGCCCTGCACCCAACAAGCCTGAAGCCTTGAACCCCAGCTGCGAATTCCTTCCATCTCTGAACCCGAAGTCTGGTAAGGCTAAATACCCTCAAACCTCAAAAACGTGCAACTCGTTAGAACACGTGTAGAATGCCCTATAGCCTCAAGAGAAACCTACATAGAATATCAAAACACCCGATTCTAACCATGGAGGCACCTACAAAGAATATCCAAAACACCCTCTTCTAGCCATTGAGGCAAGCTATCTGGGAGTTTCCGAAAATAGGGGACCCTAACATGGTACCCTAAATGGTGGGATCCTTATCATAAGGACCCCAAAATGAGGTACCCCTATTTTCGGAAACTCCTATCTTAGTCCTGAGGCCCGAGCAGCTCAACCCGAGAGACTTGCTCTCGTCGCTTCAGAGACTTGGCCGCAGTTTGGGGTTTCAAGCGATTTGGGTTTTTCTTACCTTTGGTTAAAGAAGGTTAGTAGGGCATGGAAGAATGGGGCACAATTATAACTACTATTACTGCCATTCTTCCATTCCCTACTAACCAAGGGTAAGTTTTGGGGTTTAGTGTGCAGGTTTTCAGGGAGATTGGGTTTGAGACAAAATTTGAGGGTGGGGGTTTTAGGGCTGCTGGGCTTGGTTCGACCGAGTAGAATAGGGGTTTTGGTTTTAATCGTGATATTCTGTAAAGATCCCTTGCACAGAAGCTTGAGGAGAGTGTCCTAGACGAGAGGGAGAGCCGAGAACCCAAAGACTTGCAAAGCCTTGCCTTAACCTTAAACCCCTAAACCGACACCCCTAAACTACAGTTGACTCGAGAGAGCCTACCTAGAACGACGCTGCGAACCAAGAACCTCGTCTGTCTGTATCGGAGTTGCGAGAGCGTACACCCCTAAACCCCCAAAAAGCGTTAAGAAACCCAGAGTCGAAACCGGTTGAAGCTGCCGCATTTGAGAACTCCTCAGGGACTGAAGCTGCTGCTCACCCGCGCCCCCTCCCCAATTATTATAGTACTATTTGTTATTATTCTTTCTTATTTCTATTATTATTAATGTTATTAAGTATTACTAATTATTAGTATTGTTATATACCGAAAGCTATACATTAGAAAAATGACATCGGGTGAATTAGGAAACTCTGTTGCTTTCCGGCACGTGTACTTTCTGGGTGCGGGTCTTGTAGAAGCGAGCTCGATTGTGATGCCAGCTTTTGATTGGTTAAGGGTCGGGTTCACAGTGCGAGTGAAAGCTTCGGCGCACTGCGCAGGAAGCAAGGATTTGCCCTCGAGCCGGCGGAAGCCGGAGATGTCCAGGCCAGAGTTTAAGCATTCCGTCACAAGTCCCATCTGAATTTAGTGTGTTTGTATTGATAGATATGTAGAACGAATATATAAATACATAAAGTGTCAAACACCTAAATAAACATGTCAATCTATCTACATATATACATACATATGCACATGCACATTTCCCTGTCTGCTTGCTTACTGAAAGAGGGGAGGGTTTGGATGAGCAACTGGTGCTCTGCACGTGCCAAGCGTACTTGGTAGGCTCCTGTGCTCCAAACCCATAGTCTGATTGCTCAAGGAACCTAGCGGTAGCCACAGCAGGAGGAAGAGAGGCGAAGGAGGAAGAGGAGTCGTAGTAGTGAGAGCCTTCGAACGCAGGAGGAGCTCAAGACTTGCAGTGATTTCCAGAGGAGTCGACGATTGCAGTTGTAAGTGTGTGCCAGCTTCATCTTACGAACATTCAGCAGCTGTTGCCAGAGCAGAGTTTAGGGTAGAACTCCACATACTGTGCCATCAATGAGACCACCGAGTCAAACATATACCATGTACTGCCTCCCCCCACTCCCAGCCGCGTGCACGTGTGCGCACGCAGTTGCAATATATATATATATACACATATGTACACGTATGTACAATATGTATCTATATATATATATATATATGTATGTGTGTATGTATATATGTATAGGGCCACAAACAAGAGTATGCCTGTAAGATGTGTGCGGAAGATTCTGCGACAGATGCAAGGCAACGGGTGGAGATCGCTCCTTGCTCGCTGATCTCCGCTGCGCGCTGCCTCCAACACTTCTTATCCTCACTGTCGACAGCTTACTCAGCTTGCTCCCGACATGTTGGCTGAAGGGGACGGCTTTGTGTATCTACAAAAGGAGACTTTGTTTGTGTTCTTCTGTTTCCCTTCCCTCGTCGTCCTTCAAGCCTAGATTTGTTAGCCAGACAGTTGAGAAACTTCTGATCCGGCCCTGTCCAGCAGATACAGACAGACTGGGACCTTGGGAATCTTTCGTCTTTGCATGCCCGAGAACTCAGCATCGGCCAAATCCGAAGCCAGGTTCAATCCCAGAAGCTTCAAAAGTCAAAGACATTTGCATGACGCGAGGCCGCTGTACCTAAACTCCCAAGCCGATGAAGCCACAAGCCCGAAAGCCACGAAGCCAAAGCCCGAAAAAGCTTTGAACCCCGCACTCCGAAGCTCCAAGAGCTCTAATCTCTCTCTCTCTCTCTCTCTCTCTCTCTCTCTCTCTTTCTCTCTCTCTAAACACTATACATACATACATACATACATATATACATACATACCTACATATGTATATATATGTATATGATTATTTATTTTTTATATCTAGAGACAAATAAACATATACTTGTCCATTTGTCTATGTATATATATATATATACATATATATATATATCTCTCTCTCTCTCTCTCTTTCTATCTTTATGTGTGTATATGTATATGTATATGTATATGTATATATATATATATATATATAGGTTATGTGCCCCTTTGCAAGCCTCGCCAACCCCCAGAAGAAACCTCTGTACAATCCAGAGTGAGGTCGTCTTCCTGCTGCCGCTGACTGGCTCATCGCAGCTACTGCGCTTCTCCTGTGGCATCCCGGGGCTTCATGCTGAGCCCCTCTTCGTGCAGGGGCTCTAGGAGTTCCTTTAAGGGTTCCGTTAAAGCTTCCTTCTATCAGGGTGTTGGGGTGTGTCGTTGGGATTAGGGTTTTTAGGATCTCGGGTCATGGTATAAACCGAGCGTATAGCAGCCTTGAGTTCTAGTCTTCAACAGCCGAACGAAGCTCAGGACGCTTCTGCTGTTTGCCCTCGCGACCCCCGTGCAATGTTGCCTGCTTGAATTGGTGATATTTGCGGGATTGCGCCACAGTAATGCTTCCTCTCTAAGTGTTCATACTCTCCTGTCTCCTGTCAGGAACCCGAGCATATACTCGCATCGATGTTGCAATTCGGTCAGGGGTTTGGGCTCTGCCGCGCAAGGTACAGCTGCCAGGGCAGGCAATGCATTCCATACTTTAGGGGCCTTAATAATTGGAATAGGGTTTGGGGTAACACTATTCTGTAACTATAACAAGGAACCCCTAAAACCCGATTCCAATCATTTAAGGCCCCTACATTATTTCCTGCCGACCTGTCCCCTGTAAGCTGCGGCTTACCCCGCTTCTACATTCGAAGCACGCATGTCGCCTTGGGGAGTTTCAGAAGTA